TTTTCAAAGGATGGGGAACGATCGACAATAAAATCATTTCTATTAAAAACATTTGTTAGATAGTCAGTAATGCATTACCATTTCTCATTCTCTATCATGTTTGCTAGTTTTTACTTTTTCGTCGTTGTTATCCATTGTGATAACACATGCATTTATTCCGATTCGAGTCGGTTTCAGTTCCAAGAATTGATGACATTTATTTGAATTGAAATCAGAAAAAGAATAGAACCGAAGTGGAATTGACCTATCTTTTGCACTATGGAGAAAAAGAAGGATGTGAGTGTTAGTCATCTCTTCAAACCCACACATCCATAATGATGTAACTAAGCATAACTAAGAAATTCTTCATTCATCTTTTGCTTTTTCTCCACACTTTAACGATTCATCGAACTGTTCCACATTCGAAATTGTTTAAAGTAGTTCTTACCGAAAACGTACGCGTAGAATACACCTAGTAGAGCAAGTATTTTTGAAAATTTTCACTGAGTCAATATATTCGATCTAAAAATTAAAGTAGCAGTATCCATTCGAAAGATAAAGACAATTGTAATATGTATCGAAAACTCTTTTTCAACGTAAAACTTAAAATTCTCTTGGTCATACAATAGTTGGATTCGTAGTCTATTTGACCTGCTGTGGTTTAGATTATCCTATGTATTCATGAACAAGTGATATACTATCGTTTCAATTCTGTACGATTAATCCATAAATAGGATCAATGACTATTAAGAAGAAGACAATGAGAAAAAAGCCTAATCTTTTAGTAATGTCAGTTTCAAATCAAATCATAATGGGCTTTTATCTTTATTATATAAAAACCGATGCACTTATCTCATTCGTAATCAGATCCTTTTTCTGCTATCTATTTTCCTCGTTTAAAATCGTCTCTCAATACTCATTTTGTCTATCAAATCGTATGGCGTTTTGCCTGTTAAAAAATCCACCTTGTGCGACATGTAACCAAGGGTATGGGGTGTGGGTGAATAAATGATACTGTCTTCACAACACACTCACCCACACCAACACGTACATCAATGTATGAGCACGCTATGAAATCGTATGAAATATGAAGCCACATTTACATGTCTATCCGACAAGTGGAAAGAGTTTGTCGTAGGTTGAAGTAACGCCTTGAAAAGATCTATGATGAAAGTTAAAACAGCTGGCAAAGTCAAGATCAACAATTTTAAATGTTGAGAACAGATGGTGAAATGATCTATTGCTAATAAAAAGAAATGGTTTTTTTTGCAAGATTTACCATTCAGTTTTCTATCAAATCACCAGTTTTTAATAACGTAAATAATTTCCATCATTTTTAGAAACATTCAAAAAACGAATAATTCAAGAAGAGTGTGGATATGAGATGTGGACGAAGCGAAGACTCACATTCACATATTCTTTTAAATTTTCATTGCGTGACACGAATCTAGCTAATGAAAGCTTTGAAAGACAACAAAAAAAATCTGTCCTCACCAATCTAACCTTACATGACTATTTCCATTACGTTCTCTTCCATTGAAGTTCGATTGTCATATTTCTGATTTGATCTGTATACAACTCGGAAATATATTTTTAGGAAGACAAGTCTGGAAAAAAAAATTAAGAGCATTTGTCAGTAGAAAGGCAAAGTTAAAGAAATAGTTCTTCAAAAAATAAAATGAAATCACATGTTATAACATATATCGCCATGCAACATGTTTATCACCTAAATCACGAATTTTTTTCTCAGACATGTTTTCATAGCCCCATCGTTGTCGATCTTCGACGCTACCCAAACCAAATACATCTATGGTGCCTGTATTGGGATTCGTTAACGTATAGTTTGCGACTTTTCCATATAAACGATCACGTCGTTGATTCTCCAAATAAAGATAAACAACAAGAAGAGCAGCAGTAATAAAACTTAAGATACAACAGACAAGATTGATAGAATGACCCATAATGAAACGAGGTGCATCTTGTTGTCTATAAATTTGGCCACCGATGGCTCCTCCAATGTTACACATGGACAACATGAATGCTATTGCAGTAGCTCGTTTTATATGAGGACTAACATTACATGAGAGAAAACTGATACATATTGCCGTACATGGTGATAATCCGCCAACTGCAATAAAAATAGCAAAATATTTTAGAGCAAAATTATCGACCAAAATAAGAATTATATAAGCAATAGTACTAATTATTGACCAGAACATGATGAAAATGCCACGACGAGCATATTTGTCGGAGAAATAGGCAGTAATCATTGTAGTAATAAAGGCAAAAGCATATGGTGGAGCAGTAAGAAGTTGTGCTTGATAAGTGACAAAACCTAGATTAGCAATAATAGTTGGAGAGAAGAAACCGAGTGAAAGAAATGGTATAGTTATAGTGATACCACACAATGACCAAACATATAATTTCCAATCTAAAAAAGCTGAACCAACTTGAGCCCAACTAAAATGTTCGCTAGCACCAGGTCCGGCATCAGTACGTAAACGAAAAATGACACGATTACATTCATTTTCAGTAAGAAACTTTGGTCGATCCGATGGAAAGTCACTGATAAAAAAGTAGGAAAATGCTCCGACGATGACAGTAACTAAACCTTCGACATAAAAGATCCAACGCCAACCTTCTTGACCCAACAAACCATGCATATGATTGATTCCATATGCAAGAATACCACCAAAGGTGCCAGCTAGTGACACAGCACCGAAAAGAATACTAACACGCCACGAAATTTCACGTCTTTTGTACCAACTTGATAGATAGTAGTTGATTCCTAATGAAAATACTATAAAATATATGCATGTATTATTTTATGAATATTAACCTGGAAACAGGCCTGATTCAGCAGCACCTAATATAAGTCGACAAATAAGAAGATTCGTATAAGATTTAACAGAGCCGATATAAATCGTTGCAAGACCCCAAATAATCATAATAAGTGGTATCCATCGACTTGGTCGAAATTTTTTCAGTGCCAAATTCGATGGAATCTCAAATAGAATATAAGTTATAAAGAATATACTCAAACAATTATTGTATTGTTTGCTAGAAAGATTCAATGTTAACGTGAGACCATTTAGTTTGGCTTGTCCAATGTTTACTCGATCGAGAAAACTGAGTAAATAAAGTAATGTCATAGCAGGTATGATATAAAGATCAAGTTTACGCAAGAGTTTCTTGTCTTTAGGATCATCATTTGTATCATTGGCTGACATACCATTAACAATATTGACGCTTGGTTCATCTTGAAAATGTTTCAGTTTTAATCCAACAAGTTCACGATTCTCATCGTTATTGTCCGACACAGGAAGTACAGTAGAAGATTGAAGTTGCTCATTCGTCATATTAATCACTCAGAAAATTGCGTGCAAAGAAGGCCAAGCTAAGAAAAACTCGATAGCTATCACAAAAATCTACAAAAGTCAATAAATATGTATGTGTGTTGTGTATTCAGAGCAAATTTCGCTCTATAAAATTGACCAATTAAAACAAACGTTATATTTTCAATTAGGTAAATACCAATCCATATACAAAATAGGCTAAAATAAAATCTCGTACAGACTTCAATCATTGCTCACATTAAACCAACCTTAAAATAGCAAAAAAAATAGGGAATATTAGTCAACTTTCTCTGTCTATATTAAATTGTAATTATATTGATAGTTATTCTTTTCTTGTGTGCTTTCAACCAAAGCACCGATCGCATCACATTTATGAATGTTTATCTCTTCATTCAACCGCACACGATAGGATGTTTGAACATTGTTATGATGTTCATATATGTATATTACTCAGCAGGGCAGACATCGTCATATGACTGAACATGTTGCAATTGGTTGCCACCTGTCAAATATCGTTCAGTTTGCTCATATCCATATTATGCCTCTATGTATCTGTGAAAATTGTCTGACGTCGTCGAGCAAATTCGACTCACAAGACAATACGATCGTGAAGCGATCAATATTGAGAAGAAAGTCGAAGAGTTGCTTCACGGACCAGATTCACTTACTTTTTTCATCGAATCATTGAAATAAGTTAACTACCATGACATGTTTTGATTTTGGTAAAGGACTCTGTCAAGAGTATAAGTTCATTGTCGGAAGTTTTCTGATCGTGTTGGATGATATGCGAATGCAGCTCTTATATCATTAAAAAACTTGATATATTTCTATACAAAATTGTTTATGAGTATAAGAAATGAAATCAGTTTCTTTTTCTAACTTCAAAATAAAAATACACAGGTAACACTCACGCGAAGCGAATGTACAATAACGAACATTACTAATGATGTCATGGTATATTTATGGTTATAATGTATGCAATTTTTTGTGACACTAATGTGCAATTAGCTTCAATAATACTAATATTTCATTTACTCTGACGCAAACCAAAATTAATTAGCGTAAACAGAACGAACAAAAAACATTTTTTAATTACAAATTAAATACGAGCAATGTTTGTCATTGAAAATATATTCAGTGTAAAACTGAAGGACAAGCAATAAGAAAATGAATGAATAAATCTACTTCCGTTTTCCTAGCTCAGTCTTATTTATTTTCTCTCTGTTCTTCACTTCAAATTTTTGTTCTTTATGCGTGACTTTTGATGGATTTTTTTTTCATCGTTCTCTCTCTCTCTCTCTCTCTCGCTGTAATATATCTATGAATACTTCCGTATCTAGCGAATTGTTTTCATCATCATATTTATACAGATTCATTACTTTTTCGTGGATGAATGACCAGAACACTGAATCATAGTCAATTATGTTGTCATTTTCAAAGAGATATTACAATTTGAAATATACACATAGGTTAATAATTGTCAGTCCAAGTAAATCGACATGAAAAAATTATATAAAACAGCGAGAGGTGATATCGAAGATTTAAATATCTTATTCGAATGTGAAAATAAATGTTTTGTAGATGAAACATATAATAAAAGATGAATCTGAAACGTAAAGATACTGAGACTAAAACTACGTAGTGTTATTTTTGAAGGTGTGGGTGTGGTTGAAGAGAAGATTTACACTCACACCCACACCCTGACAAAAATTGCTTTTCATGTGAGGCATTAAAATATGCGCCAATGTAATGCATTAAAATGGTTGTTTTTTTGACTAGCGATGGATATGTTTATATTGTTAGTTAATAAGGTTAGATGTATCCTGGCCAGATTACAGTTCTCATCATTAAACTAAGATATTTAAAATATAGGCTTCTGTTGCCATGTCTAGACCGAGATATTCGAATTTTAAGATATTTACACCATATGAAACGTACTCATAAATCAAAATTTTAGCAGAATTTTTTTTTTCTTTTTTCGTCATTATTGAGTAGAATTTGTCAAGTTATATAAGAAAAAGTATGTTTCAAATTCAAAAAAATAAATATTTTACGAAGAAGTCCACGACAATATTATTTTCAGATATACGAAGAAAGAGACTCAGAATTCTGGTTTTCCGTTAAAATTGTTTTGAATTTGAAACATACGTTTTGTATAACTCGACGAGCTCTATCCAACCATGATGAAAAAAGAAAAAAAATTCTGCTAAAATTTTGATTTGTGAGCACGTTTCATATGATGTAAATATCGTAAAAATTCGAATATCTCGGTCTAGACATGATAGCAAAAGCTTATATTTTAAATTTCTTAGTTTAATGATGAAAGCTGTAATTTGGCCCGAATATATCTAAACTATATTAATTGACAATACGAACACATCTATCACAAGTATTCTAAATGTTCAACTCATCTTTTGACTTGTTCTCTTCTTCGTACCAAATTTATATTTTATTCAATGTACTCTCTATAGCACTGTTTGTACATTTTTTTTATTTATATCAACTGCTAATGTAAGTTACTCGTCAAGAGGCAGATATTGATTAAAATAGATTTGAAACATATTACACTATTTTATTCAAAACAGAACATTGAACAGATTTCTATTTTTCAGTGAACTACTATAATCTATAGCTGACATCTCGGTATGTGTTAGATATTACTTGTCAACGTAAAATTTATTTGTGAGATATAATTTTCAATGCTATTCCGAATAAATTGAAAAAAATTGAAGTCGTGTTCATTAAACTCAGAGAGACAGACCGTACTAGTAAATTACACAAATAATTTATTCGAAAAAAAAATTTCTCAAACGTCTAAATTGTTCAAAAACCAGAGAGTCGAGTTTTTTTTATTCTACTTTTTCGTTCATAGTTTAACATGTTCTGAATTGTATAGTAGTGTCAAACTTGAAAGTTGAATTCAAGTATTCAACTATCAGTTCAACTATTCAAGTATTCAATTATTCAACGTCTGGAATACCACCAGAATCATCTAACATCGACAGGTATTGTCTGGGATGCCTCAGGCATTTCCTATAATGCCACAAGCATCACCTATGATGCTACAAGCATCCTCTAGGATGCTACAGGTTTTGGTTGAGATGCTTCAGACATTATCTGGAACGCTACAGGAAGTGTGTGAGAAGCCTGAACTACTATGTAGCACTGAGTAGGAATAATGGTGTACACAGAGACGTGCATGGGTCGCGGCTCTTCGGGGGGCGCTTCGCGCCCCCACGCCACGACGCTGAAATAAAAAGTGTGTTAGGTGGGGAAACGCGCTTTTCCACTGAATATCTGCAAAATACTTGAGAAGTTAAAATTTGAATAGTTCAATACTTGAATTCAAGTTTCAAGTATTACATGTATGTTCGCAAACGTTATTCTTTAAGATAAGTTAGAAATCTTCTCTGGAGTCATCACAAAACTATACTTTGCAATAGTTTATACGTGAGCTTTTGTATGATTCGAATGCTTAGTTAATGATTCTTAACTTAGATATAGACATAAAAATTGTTACTTGCCTATATAGAACCAGTTAATATCTATGTAAAATACATAAATTAAAATCAAAAATCCACGTGAGTGATTTCGATACGATTTCAGAAACAAGTTGAGGCGATCCCCATATGAGTCCAATTCCAAAAAGTGTGAACGTTGACCAACCCTAATCAAAGGATTATCAATAGAATTTTTACTTTAGACACCACCTACCAATCATATCTTATCTTCCAATGTCGTGAATTATCCTCTTATGATTGATATAGCTATATTTGGTCTATACTTTATTCTAATTTTATTCGGTGGAATGTCTTTTCAAAATCCATATGTTAATGCAATTGAACAAGTACTTGTGGAACAAAATGATAACAAAATACAGCAATTCTTAATTAAAGTATCACTCGATGAATACTTCTGCTATCATTGTGTTTCTAACTATTCTTCTTTAAAAAAAAATAGAATTGATGATAAACTTGCAAAATAAACAACTACAACAAGAACAAGCACTTAAAAAAAGCAAAAACATTTTTTAGTATGTTGTCGATTGTAAATTTACTTGTCGTTTACTTTATATTTGATGGACCGCCACTCATCACCATCGCATCAACAATTAATTCTTTTTTTGATTTGTTTCTCATCTTACGTCTCAAATGAGACAATATTCTATTTCGAGTGTTTTATACTTTTAGTTTCATTCACCATCGGCATGAACACACTTTGCGTGTTCTTGGCTCCACTATTAAGCATATATCTGTGCCAGAAAAAGAAAAAAAACAAGTTTAGAATCTTCGAAATCATTACCTGTTTTATTTATTAAAAACATATTTATCTTCTGCATTTTTTTTATTTTTAGACAAAGTTTCTCCCATTATAATGTGATCTTATTCTGATGCACTGCAGACAAATACGTCGAGTATAGATGACTCCCGTTTAATAATAGGTAATAGGCATATTAGATGAAAAATTTAATAATTTGATAAGGGTACATCCAATTTTAACACTATCTGGTACTTTTGTCTAACATGCTCGAAAGTAGACTTTATAGAAAGCCATGGTTTTTTGGCCCACTGGTCGACAAAAAAAACTTTTTTTTTTTTAAATCGAGAAATGGTGGAGCATTTCTAATTACCTGGCTATATTCATTAGAGAATGGGCTACATTTTGTAAAACAAAATCAAGTCTCCAACTTTGAATCTAAATTTTTAAATTTATTTTATTCATTCAATAGAGAATTGAAAACTAAACGGATGCAAATAGTTAAGGAATTTCTAAGATTAAATTTATTACCCGATATTTTTCCCAAACTCTTTTTCAACCATTTGCAATATCGAGGTGCATAGCCAAAGTTCTGTCTGCTCTATATAAGATTAGACAGAAAAATACTGGTTTTATTTTTGCTGGAGATTTTCGAGGTTCGGATCGAAGGTAAATTACGAATTTTGCGAAGGAACCAACTTTAAAAGAGTTTTTGCAGCTAGTCTTAAGTGTGTGAGCACTACAAT